TGTGTAGCCAATCTCTGCCTTCCACTTGCGAGGCTATTCAATCTCTCGGCACAGCAATGTGAGTTCCCCTGCCGCTGGAAACTTTCTTATCTGTTCCCAGTGCACAAAAAAGGAGATAAACGGAATGTCATAAATTATCGTGGAATCACCTCCCTGTGTGCCTGCTCAAAACTGTTCGAGATTATCATAAATGGTGCTCTGTTCGCACGCTGCAAAAATTATATCGATACAGAACAACACGGTTTCTACCCGAAGCACTCCGTGTCCACGAACCTGGTGCAGTTCACTTCTAACTGTCTGCGATGCATGGATTCAGGATGGCAAGTCGATACTGCGTATATGGATCTAAAAGCTGCATTTGACACGGTGGACCATAATATCCTGCTGGCCAAGCTGGAGATACTTGGCATCTCGTCAACTGCTGTGGATTGGTTCAGATCTTACTTGGTGAATCGCTACCCGAGCAAAGTTAGAGATCAAATTGAAATCAGAATTTGCTGTTATGATGTAACTTATTTTGAATACTCCATTTGATCTCATTTTGGTTGACTTAACGGTTAACACAGCAAAAATGCGAGCAAAATTTTACACTGTTGAATCAAACGGAAAACTAATTCTGCTTTCAATGAAATCAATTTGATTACTGATTTTGCATTCATAATGTTTTACTGAATACGGGCCTGTCGTAAATGGTTAGCATCCATGCTTCTTATGCTGAAAGATTTGAGCTCAAATGTCACCTCGGGCTAGTCACGAATGACCTAAAATGTGTTAAACAAAACTAATAAACAATAATCGTTAGTTCAACGACAGATGAGCTTCAATCAAATTTTAAACAAGAAATTAAAAGCAGAACTTCAAGTTAAGTTGCTTTGATTTAAAAAGTCTTGACTGCATAATGAAAGCACAATATGATATCAGACTTATGTCGCGACAATTGAAATCAAAATGAGTTTTCATTATGATAGGAACTGCAAATTTTAATATCGATTTGCTTTCATTTTGTTAACCGACTTTGCACTGATAGGCAAAATAAAGTGCCCACCCCATCATTTTTTGAATTTCTCTCATTTATTTGGTTCAAATTAAAGTAAATACACTGTAGTATTTTTTATATCTTATTCTTTATATTCTTTTTAAGTTTCACTTATAGAATACCAGATAAAAAGAAGAGACTGACTCGAAGAAAAAAAAATCAAAATGGGTGTAAAAAAGAACAGTGACAAAAAAAAGTGCCCACTGCATTTTAACTCCAGAAAACATAAAATAAAGTAAAAGAATACCAGCCTAATAGTTAATGTGTCCTCCTTTGGCCTTCAGGACCAGCTGCAGGCGCTTCGGCATGCTCTCCACTAGATTCTTCAGGTGCTGTGGATCTAGTTCTTCCCAGGCGCGCTCCAGGGCTTCAAAATAGTTATTTTTATTGGTAACACCAGTTTTGTCAACCCTGGCATCGAGAATCGCCCACAAATTCTCGATGGGGTTGAGGTCCGGGCTTTGTGGAGGCCATTCCAGTGGTTTAATTCGACATGACCGGAAGAAAGACTTAGTCTTCTTGGCAGTATGCTTCGGATCGTTGTCCTGCTGGAATACGAATTTCTCCTCAAGGCCCGTCTGGATCAGCGAAACTTCCAGATTTTCCCGCAGGATGTCGATGTAGGAATCTGCCGTCATTATCCCGTCGATTTTCACCAGGCTTCCCACTCCACCCCACGAAAAGCACCCCCAGACCATCACATTTCCTCCTCCATGCTTCACCGTGCCTTGTATGTGGCGCTCCTGAAGCTCCTCACCCGATCTACACCACACACGAACCCGTCGCTTCCGGTTGAACAGTTCGAATTTTGATTCGTCCGTCCAGAGAACCGTTTTCCAGAACTCTAGGGGCTTATCAGCATGCTCCTTAGCAAACTTAAGCCGTTTGACTTTGTTTGCCTTGCTGATAAATGGGCGCTTCCGAGCAACTTTGCTGTTCAACCCCTGTGCTACGAGACGGCGACGAACAGTTCGACTGGAAACTGTTAGCTGAAGAGCCTCCTGGATCTCGCGGACAGTTACCTTCGGGTTCTTCTTCACTTCACGCATGATCTTGGTGTCCGTTCTCGCATCCGTTTTGCGCATCCTGCCTCTGCCAGGGCGATCCACCACTGATCCGAACGATTTCATTTTCTGCAGAATTTTCCCGACCGCTGTTTTGCTGATATTGTACTTCCTAGCGACAGACCGGTGCGATTCACCGTTTTGCACATCACGAACAACCAATTTTCGGATACACACGGGAATTGCTTTCGAAATCACTACGTCCTCCATTTTTTTCAACTGATTCAAATGCGATCACGTGTACAAATGCACCAGTTCCACCCGTTTGCTTCAATACATGTCAAACTTTCAAAACAAAAACAATCGAGGGGTTTTCCGATGGAAACTTATCGAAAACATACCGATTTTTGAAGTGGGCACTTTTTTTTGTCACTGTTTTCTTTTTCAATCCAAATTGATTTTCTTTTACTTCAAGTAAAACTTTATATTTTCAGTATTCCATAGGTGTAACTTTAAAAGAATAATAAAGGTAAGACATCGAAACAGACTACGGTGTGTTTATTTGAATTTGAACCAAATAAATGAGAGAAATTTCAAAAATGATGGGGTGGGCACTTTATTTTGCCTATCAGTGTACATGTCAAGATTGGCGCGTCGGAATCGGATGTTTTCTCAAACAACTCGGGAGTCCCGCAAGGCAGTAACCTAGGACCGCTACTATTTTCGATCTTTTTAAACGATGTCGCCTTGCTGATACCATTTGGATGCCGCGTTTTCTATGCAGACGATACGAAAATCTACAAAATTATTAAAAGCCTCTCGGACTGCTGGGATCTCCAGAATATGTTAGGTATTTTTGCTGACTGGTGCTCAAGAAATTTGATGAGTCTAAGCATAGAAAAATGTAACATTATTTCATATCACCGAAAAATTGAACCAATCATGTTTGACTATGTTCTCTACGGACGATTTCTTGCTCGTGTAGAGCACATAAAGGATCTCGGCGTTACCTTGGACTGCAGACTCACTTTCAGAATCCACTACAATGACATCATCTCCAGAGCTAATCGACAATTGGGCTTTATTTTCAAAATTGCCGACGAGTTTCGTGACCCGCTATGTCTCAGGTCACTTTACTGCTCGCTTGTGCGATCCTTATTGGAGTCAAGTTCAGTTGTTTGGTGCCCTTTCCATGCTAGCTGGATCACTAGAATTGAATCCGTTCAACGCAAGTTTGTGAGATATGCTCTTCATTTCCTCAACTGGCGTGACCCAACGAACTTGCCACCGTACGAGGAGCGTTGCCGTCTCCTGGGAATCGAGCCATTAGAGGTGAGACGGACGGTCGCTCAAGCTATGTTCGCTGGAAAGCTGCTTACAGGTGACATTGACTGCCCAACACTGCTGTCACAACTAAATATGTATGCCCCTGAGAGGTCTCTTCGTCAACGCGACTTTCTGTTTTTGAACCACGGAGCCGGAATTATACACAACACGAGCCAATTCGAGCAATCAGCCGGCAATTCAACAACTTTTTTTATATGTTCGACTTCAATGTATCAGCTGACGTGTTTCGTCATCGGCTACTTGGCCTTTTCCGTACCGTTGACCGTAACTATTTAGTTTAAGTTTTATTCATTTAGACAGTATTTGTCAGTTGAATTTTTCAATAAACAATAAACAACAACAACAACAACAACAATAAAACTGGTTCGATGGTATTGCTCCTAGCGTGGGATTGAACTATCGCCCGTTCGAGTTATGGGTTTACTTTAGTCGGGGAGGGATGTCATTCATCATCGATCGGATTTTTCCTTTGTTTCTGTATACCTGCAAGGCATCAAGAATTAAAAAAAAATATTGAGCCAGAATAGGTACCTCGTAAAATATTGTGTCGGGTTGAATTTGCATGAAGTTCCAGTTCCTCTTCCGCCTCCCGACCCGTTAACGCTCTAATGAGAATGAAGGTGAATGCTTGCCATGATCCATCAGAGAAATTGAGATTGTAAACACAATCAAAAAGTCAAAACTATTGGGGTTGCCAAACTCATAGAATATTGACACCTTGATAGGCATACTTTGATTGTCCTTGATAGGCACGTTCGTCATAACGCTTGGCACAGCGTTCGGCACAACTCAATCACTCGGTACGAATTAAGGTGTGCAGACTTGAATACCCCTTGTTATGAGTAATTTTTGATAGATGTCACCGCAAACAACAGCAGTGACATCTGATGGAACATGAATGCAGAAGCTTGACAAAATGATTAATTTTAAATAGAACTATGAAAGGAAGCTTAAGTGGGAGAGTCATAAAAAGTTCGAAGATAATCTTAGGATGAATTGAATGAGTTTTTTTTAAACGTTCTGCGTAGAATTTGCGGACTGTAGGAAATTCCCGAGGGAATCTCAAATTTATGTCAGAGGAATTTTGATAAAGATCTCTGTGAAAGGAATTGATTGTTCAGGAAATTCTTACGAACAATTTTCAAGGTAGTGAAAACACACAGACAAATTTGGCGGGTTTCATGTCCTTCATTGGCTCCCGAACATCATGGCTAAAGGGGTGGAGCATGCGATCGTTGCAACCCGGCAAGCAATTTCCCCACAATTCTCCTAGTTCCTGAAGCCGGTGTTTCTGACACATGAAAACACTTTTGAAAGAGTTTCAATACCTAATATCTGAAATGAATGAGGTCATTAGGATCGCAATTTTTGTTTGGTATTGATACCATTATTTGACTTGTTCAACGCATATTCGTTTTCTGACAACCTTGTTTAAAAATGTTCATTTTGTTGTTGATTTTTATGATCTCCACTACCGTTCATTTAGGTATGTTATGTCGAGAAGTTAAGTTTTAAATCTTATGCAGGTCGATAATTTTGTGTTCAAGAATTCTGCTTTACTGGTAGTACATATCGTTTCGAATAAATGAAAACACATCAAACCGTTCGGTCTTTATTCTCAATTTTTGCTTTATTAGATTAACCTTAGAGTGTTTGCTTGTTTTAAAAACGACACAATAAAATTGGTAACGATGACGCTTTACGTCCATAATAATAGGTTTACTATTGCATATCAGCGCATATTCCCTTTCTAAAAAAACACTGCTACTGTTAGTTCCATTGCAACGTTTTCAAAACGCTTAACAAACAAATTGCCTTACTTCTGGTATCATATGGAGTTCCCCTTGTGTTCGCAACCAAATATTGGCACCTTGTTTTAGATATTTGCTTGTAGTTTAATCGCTAGATCACATAGTGTTGTATTTTGCTCGTAGCTCAATTCTCGTTAGATTTTCCTTGCGTTTGATTAGATCCGTGTAAGTGGACTGCTATTTATTCTATGAAGAATAAAAAAAAACCGGGTAATGTTCCGTGCGCCTATCGACAATTGTTCTTCTATTTAGTTAGTACGTACTAATAGCTTTGTGATGCAATAAGAGATTTATTTTGATGATTAAAATGTTTCAAAAACTTGAGGTCTGATAGAAATGTTTTGATTAAAATTACTTCATTACTTGTTCAATATGATTCTACTACCAACATTAATTTCTATGATATTCATTCGCTTCGGTGTGCTAGTTTTCGATTTACTTTTTAGAATATGTATCTTATTTTCTGTAACTTGCCGTGATAGGAAACAATTACGATAAACACTGATGACTCTAATGACATGCAAAGATAAACGTAGAAACGTACTCAATTTATGCTAATGTATTATGTGAAATATCCTTCAATCGACTTAATCAAACTGTCATTTCTATTGTTGCGATTTCGTTTCTGACGGCCGCCAGTTCCTGCAGTTCCCGAGTTCTAGAGTTAAACACCTATGACACCCAATGCGCGCAGAGAACCTTAAGCCTCGAAAAATCAGTTTTCGTACTCGGCGTAATCAAACACGTACATGGTGACCAGATCTTCGGTTAACTTCTCCGGCTCGGTGACCGGCAGTTGGCAAACCTTGTTGTGACACATGTAAGCCGTCGGTGCATCCTGGATCATCTTGAAGCTTTTGAGCGTCTTGCCTCCGAGGCTGTGTTCCGGCAAGCTCGGATCCAGCCGAACGATGAGTAAACCGGGCATATAGAAATCCCGTACGGCATCCACCAGAGCCGTGTCCTCCGGTCCATCGGGGCCTGTTGGTGGGTAGGACCAACAATAATGAATCATTTATGAGCAATTAAAAAAATGCGTGAACTTACCAACAACCACGAGCATATCCCGTCCGTGCTCCTGCAACAACATGGCCGACATCATTTCCGGTAGGACGTAACCGAATGGAGTAACGTTCGAGAAGTAACTAAACAACTTGGTGACCTTCTCTCGGAATGCAGCACACTCAAAGTAGTCTCCTAGTATAATCAAATTGTAAGCGGAGACGCTGTTACCGCAAGGTTCCGCACCGTCGTGATCTACAAGAGTGGGCATACTTTTAGAATAATCTTAAGATTCCAAGTTTACCATAAACTAACCTTCCTTCAACCGTACGACAACGTTGGCCGAGTTTGCCTCTGAGTAGTAGTAGCCACTGTTCTTGTGGTCCCAGAAGAGCTGGTCCTGGATCTCCTGCAGTTCCTTCGCCCATCTAAGTGCACTTTCGTCTAGTGAGGCTCGATAGTAATCGATCAGACCCTTGATCAGGAAGGCGTAGTCATCAATAAACCCGTGAATTGGAGTTTCTCTGCGGAGAAAAAGTAGTCTCAGTGTTGATTTAGGTCAGAAAAAAAAAAATTAGAACTTACAATGCCTTGGCTTTATCGCTCTCATCTCCGTAGCAGGAGCGAAGTAACTTTCGAGCTTGTGCATCGTAGAGATTCTCCCGGATGAACGAGACTAGATTTGAGCATGTCTTGAGATACTCGGCTCGGTTCGGTGCATCTTTGATGCACGATAGTTGCGACAGCCCGGACAGTACCAGACCATTCCAGGCGCAAATAATTTTAGTGTCCAGATGAGGTCGGGGTCGTTTGTCACGCACTTCGTGCAGCAACTCGTTGCCGATCTTCAAAATTGAACCGACTACTTCTGGAGTAGTTTCGAACTTTTCCGCCGTTTCACGTACCGATCCGTAAACGATTAGAATGTTCTTACCCAGCAGATGCCCGTGGGGATCGCTGCTGGGTTCCACATTTCCCGTTTGTTGGATATCATAATGTTCGGTGTACAATTCTACCGGATCTACCTTACCGATATCACCGAATTTTTCGAGATTCGCCTTCAGAAGATCCCGCACTTCGGCGTACGTCCAAGCGTAGAAAGCACCTTCGATCTTATCCTTACTTTCCCACGTGGGAAGGGAATCCGCGTCCTCTCCGCTGTAGAATCCACCCGCTGGATGTTGCAAGTCTTTGCAAATGTATTTGTAAATGGAATCCGCCACCTCAAGGTACAGCGGCTTCTTCGTCGTCTTATACCCATTGGAATAAGTCATCAACAGTTGACCCTGATCGTAGAGCATCTTTTCGAAGTGCGGCACATGCCACTTCTTGTCCACTGAATACCTTGCAAAGCCCCCGAACACATGGTCGTAGATACCCCCCGCTGCCATCTTGTCCAATGTGTTCAGTACCACGCCCAAAATTTTAGTCGAAGGATCCTGTAGATGGGCATGGAAAATAAGATTCAACTTGGACACCTCCGGGAATTTGGGGGCCCCAAGGGATCCTCCCCAGATGGGATCGAAATTTCGCTTGTAAATCGTAACCGCTTGGCGGTATTTTTCCTCCGGAGTAAACACTCGCTCTGGATCTTCGTGATGCTTCTCCTCGACATTCTTCTGAATGGCTTCGATTATGCTTCTACCCGTCGAAGCCAAATCTTCCCCATCAGTGGCCCACTTGATCTTCAGCTTGAGCAAGATCGTCGTGAAGCCGGGCATTCCCCAGCGATCTTTCGGGGGAAAGTACGTTCCACCGGTCACGGGTGCCAAATCGGGCGTCAACCAAACAGACATTGGCCACCCACCGGATCCGTTGATCAGCAGGATGAACGTCATGTAGAGCTTATCGATATCGGGCCGTTCTTCGCGATCGACCTTGATGTTGATGTAGTTCTCGTTCATAATCTCAGCCACGTCTTCGTTTTCGAATGATTCCTTCTCCATTACGTGGCACCAGTGGCAGGTGCTGTATCCGACCGAGAGGAAGATGAGCTTGTTCTCCGCTTTGGCGCGGGCAATGGCCTCTTCGCCCCAGGGATACCAGTCCACCGGGTTGTGGGCATGCTGCAACAGGTAGGGAGATTTCTCGTTGATCAACCGATTGGTGTGCTTCGGTTTGCCCGATGGTCCCGCTTCGCCGGAAGCCATGTTGACCGGTGCGTCGGTGTGAATTGAGCTGGAAGAGGGCCGGAGGGGGATTGAAATGAAAAATTATGTGCCTACTTCTGGACATTTTGTCACGTGCATAAGTCTATTGGAAAACCATAGTCAAACGTGTATTTCCGCTCCGAGATGTTTGTTTGAGCTCTTCGCCTATTCTGCGAGACGTGTGACTCTCTGTGTGTGGCCACAAATTACGTCTCAAGAGCTGATTTTATTAATTTATTACAGTGACTGCGAAATCGGACCGTACTTTCATAGTGAATTTCCATATTTTGTTACGTTCCATGGAAACAATATGAACCACTACTTAAATTAAATAACCGAAGTATTAAAATTACCTGAAATATTTTCAATTCAAATGATAATGTTAAAACAAAAACACCCGTTCGATTTTGGCAACAAGCCCGAAAATTTAGTGCCAAAATCGAACGGTTTTATTTTGAAATTTAATTTATGAATTCTTTGATTTTGGACCACCGTAAGTCATCTTTATCGCATAGACGTTATTAATAATTAATCTTTTATTGAAAATTATAATCACAAGGAGCAAACATACATTATTTTCAAAATCCGTGCCAAAATCGAACGGGTACTGTACTGCGGTCGTGTCTAGGACAAAATCCAACTCGTACAATGCATAAGATCCTACACACTTAGATTTTTTTGCCGAGATGGGCACCACCGAGCAGCTCGGCATTTTATTTTGCTGGAAATTCAGCAAAAAATATGTTTGTTAGCTGAGATCTCGGCAAAATTCCCGTTTGTTAGCTGAATCTCGGCAAGTTTTTCACTGAGAACCAGCAAAATAAAATGCCGAGCTGCTCGGTGGTGCCCATCTCGGCGAAAAAATCTAAGTGTGTAAGTAACATTTATCGATTCTCTTCATCAACTTTCTCTTTTGTTAATAGCTTGGCTACACAATCGTTTTTTATCGTATTGGTCGTATTAATTGGTAGATAGTATCTACTAGTTGTGTGTTGAAAAAAGCTGGAAATATATTTACATAGCCATGGGTATGTAAATAGAAAATCAACGTCAATGTTACTTAGCAGCTCACTGAAAAAAGTTTTCACATAGTTTCTATTGGGAACGCACATATTTTTCCCATAGCGAAATTAATGATTCTTATCTGAATATCACATAACATAATAAATTCTATATGATTAAGATCTCACTGGACACATAAGGATGGTTGTGTGGTGCAAAATTGATATCACATGAAAATTATGTGAAATTCACAGGGATAGTTTCCACTGATTTATTCTATGAGTGTAATCCATTGTTCGGCTTGAATAATTAATTTATTTCAATTTGTTTATTATTATCTTCTTGTTTGTTTCAAATGACATCAGGATCCAACTGAATACAATATGTTTTTCCTTATAATTTTTCATTCATTCATTCATCAATCTACCTCTGCAAAATCGTTCAATATTTGACTACAGCACACATTTTACGAGCCAAACGGCACGTATCGCGTCCTTGTTGAATACCTGTTCGAAGGTTACAAAGATACGCCATACACTCTTAAGGCGTACACTATCTTCATACTACAGATGGCAACCAAAATTTAGGCCCATGTCTTCGATGAACATTTCATTAATCTTATATAATCCGTGACTCCTGTTTACTGCACTGCATTGTTGAAATGCGCATTCCATAGATTATTCTCCCCCTACTACATAATTTAGCAACAGGAGAGCAAAAACAAAAAAAAAAACTCACCAAATTTGTCCCACTTGCGGTGGAAGATATTGATCGGAGTTCGAGATGACGAAGGCTGATGCTGTCGTTGCTGCTATGGTTCGACGTCGCTGACGGCAGAAGTAATGATGATGATGGATCCAACTATTACGCTCTGGATCGTTGGATGCTGCTGTTGCAGTGGACCACCTTCTCCGTTGCCAGGATTTCGGAAGGATGCCACTGCCACTGCCACTGGCCACCGAAGAGCTACAACTAGTACGCAAATAGCCTGCCAGATGATGGTTTAGTTTCGCTGCGGCACCGTGGAACATAGCAGAACATGGGGAACGAAAGTTGATTGGGATGTGGATACTCTGTTCACTGTCCACTAGCACGGGTTGTTCAGTATTTCAATCTCTAAAGCACTTGATTTTTGTCTTTTTCACTGGAACCGAAGAAAGGTTTTTTTTGGAGCAGATTGTGCGACTGCAATCTTGCTGTTGGTGTCAATGGGAGCAAAATATTGACAAAATGTAATGACGTGATGACGACGAATGCTCTGCAAACCGATTTCTGACATCTGATGATGAGCGTGAGTGCGGTTTGTTTTGCTGCTTGTTTGAAGCGATTGTCGAAAGAGACAGAAACGTTGTTTAGTCTCTCATGAGTGGCTACATTGGTACCATAGGTTATATCGGATGGGTAGGCTGGAGTTAGGTGTTTAAACTGTCCAATTTTAATGTAATTTCATAAGCATCATCTTGAACAAAGTACAGTACATGAACTTTGTATTAATCTGTCACCCAGCTGGATGGCCTTCTACTTCCCAAATGATCGGGATTTTGAAAATTGATCATAGACTGAACATGAGGCTTCAAGGCCCAAACGCAATGACGACGGAAGCGGAACGGCAACGGCAGCGGAAAAGTCCGATCTGAGTAAGCCTACTTGTCGGATTGAAAACTAGTTAGATCCAAATCGACTTCGGTTAGGCATCTTGATGTCATTAGTGACAACTGCCAAACTTTCCGTTTCCGTTCCGCTTCCGCCCACATTGCGTTTGGGCCTTCACATCAACACGTTTGTCGACGACAGCAACATATTAGACTGTCAGTAGGATAATGGATTTTGGTTGGACCTATTTTTGTCATTTTCACACTGCGTCTAAATGTATGTCGTGTTTTTTCTATGAATATAACATATGGACATGAAAAATGTGTATTTGATGAAAAAGTCTACCTTTCTAGTTTGTAAAAACTACTATTATAATTATTATTAAATCTTTATTTTAGAGATTTTTAGCCTAAGGCTAGTTTATCTCTTTTGCAATAATACTGATTTTTTTTTTCAAAATAGGATGTAATTTAACGTTTTTATTCAGCATTGAATTTGAATCATGGACTTATTACATTCGATATAAAGTACCATTTGTACGTTTGGGAAGCCCGCAGGGCCGTGCGCCATAAACTCAGTTTGACGACATTGGAAAATGTCTAGGTGTCCGTGTGCATGGTGTATGTGCTTTCTGTTCACCCAGATCGAAAGAATCGGTATTAGTCGATGTGTTCATCTACCGTTTTCCGACGTGTTCCACTCCTGTTGCCAGTTAGCCAACGATTCCGCTCTCACAACTTTCCGTACTCTTCCGACTTCTCTCTACCTGTAGCACTCGCTATCCTCCAGGGTTTCCTGCAAAAATGTAGAGAGCGATGCGAGTAGATGGGTTTGAATGCAAGAGATGAAAAAAGATTTTTCGTAGATTGATTCGCGAGTGTGAGATTTTTCGACTATTTAAAATCGGGATTTAGATGTGTCGCACCCCTCGGTTAAGCTCGCTTTTATGGTTATTTTTATTAGGGATGTCTACTAAAAATGTTGGTGAAATTGACCGTATATTCACGTAAACAGATTTAGTGTATTTGTGTTTGTATGTTTGGGATTTCGATATTTCCGGGAAACGAGATTTACGTGATTTTCAGGTACGCAAAAAATCAATATGGCGTCACCAAGCGTGTTGGAAGAACTTCTTAAAGATTCAAAATTCCTCAGCGCTTGCTGCAAATGCAAATGCATTTTGAGTCTGCAAACTGGTGTTAATATTTTGCCAGAAATAAAAAAAAAACTCGATACACGTTTCTACCTTATAATAATCAACTAGTTAATATTTTACAATTTTAAGAGTAGATATAAGCACAGACAAACAGACATAACACATTGAATATTTCTCACTGTAAAACATCGTCGCTAAAACATTACTGCCATCTGTTGAGTCACTGTGGTGGGTAGTACACTGCACAGATGGCGGTAGTGTGTAAACGTCAAACGCAAGGGAAATGACTATGCGCGCCACAGGTGGCGGTACTACCAACTACGATACTTTTAAATTGACCGTTAAATGCTTATTCGATGAACAACTTGCGAGTGTTATGTCTGTTTGTCTGTGATATAAGTATTAATTTAAACACGTGAAATTTATATCTTCCCGATAAAATTGCATAATATTGACTGCTTCTAAATATACTTCCCATTATTCTCATTAAAAAAATCACGTACAAATTACATTAAAAGCATTTTAAACAAAACGGAATGTCATGTAAAAGTTACCATATGTCCAGTAGTTTTCACTCCGATTTCACGTAAGCAGTACGTGAAAATCAGGTCTTATTTACCTGACTATTACGTGAAAAATAGGGTGGATGCCCTACTAATTTTGTTTTCGTCACAAATTAGATCAGATCCCAGAGCAAACCAGAGTAACTCTGAAACTCTGAGTAAAAGATGTACTCAAATGAAAGCTGTCTTCCCCCTCGCCTTAATGCAATAGTATAGGATTTTTAGGAACGGATTATTGCAGTTAAAAATGCAATTACATTCTATTCCACGAGTCCAACATCAAGCATATCCCCTTCACCAGATCCGGTAATTTTGCTGATGCATCTCTGTCATCATTTTTCTGTAGAACTAGCTCGTATCAAGGGACCCCAGAACGATGGGTGGTCTACCGATCGGTCAACTGTAAAGGCCCAAACGCAATGTGGGCGGAAGCGGAACAGAAACGGAAAGTTTGACAGTTGTCACAAATGCCATCAAGATGCCTAACCGAAGTCGATTTGATTCTAACTAGTTTTCAATCCGACAAGTAGGCTTACTCAGATCGGGCATTTTCGTTGCCGCTGCCGTTCCCCTTCCGCTTTCATTGCGCTGGGGCATTAAGGCCTTAAGCCAGGTACTGAAAATTAGATTTGAGGCTTTATTAAAAACTGACCCGTTCAAATTCTGCGTTATTTTAGTCGGAAATAATTTTACAGGGAGCAGGTGGCAAGTTCATTCATCATCGATTGGGTTAGGCCGTTCGCAATGCTGTTGTATTTTATAAGGACTGTTTCAATTTGAAACTAGAACAGAAACGTACCTCTCGCAATGCTGAGTTGCAGTTTCATTATTCGAGCACTATTTTGCACCAGATTTGCAACTGCTCGACTATTCTGTTTTATTTCTGAGCGAGTTTGAAACACGAATGGAACTCTGTTTCAAATTTCTTTGGATGTGTTGAAGATGTTTCGAAGAGCTCCACAAAAAAAAAAGGGAGAACTTCATAGAGAACAGTAAAGTTTATGGAACTTGATGATTACAAACATGTTTTAGAACTGTGCGTTGCGCTGATCGTGTTGCAGTTTTATTTTTGACAGTTTCAAATTATAGAATTGACGAGTAGTTTAAAACAATTTTAAAACTCAGCATTGCGAACGGCCTTACGCCTTCTTTTCTGTACATCTGCAAGGAATCAGCAGCAGGGACATCGAGCCGGAATCTGCTGAACGGGTTGAACACCGTACAGGTTTGATGGCTTCCTCTTCCGTAAACGCACTAATTAAAGCCCTACAGTAAAAGTATGGACGTCTGTCAAAAGTTGTTCCAATCGAACCGTCAAAATGCACCGCTTTGCTCGATTGGAACAGCTTTTACAGTTTTGTGGTGACAGTCGTCCAGGGTGACGCCGAAAGGGATCATACTGGTGATAACGCATACAGCTTCCGTCGAGATGGTTCTGTACGCATGCTTGGCATGCACAGTTGTACACACCAACTGCTCATTTTTTAATAGCTTTTCTCTCAGTTATTGAAAATTGATTTTCTTTAAAGTAATAGATAGATTAGGATCATAGCTTACTATAGATATAGATATCCAAAGAGTAGGTAAATCAACACCAATGAATTTTTACACTTAAAGTCCGAAATGTGCAGCGAGCATTTCTCACTTGATTTTTACAACGCAAAAACAAATACAGTTTATTACTAGAATTAAAATCTACTTTTTCTTACGTACCTATTACAAGTTTAAACTTTGTTCTATCTACTGCTTCAAACAGAACTATGTTTTGTCAACTGTGTGAAAAGTTATTAGCAAATGAGCAGTTCGTGATCAAAACTGTGTATGCCAAGCATGTCTGTACGCACTCACGACTCGCATGGCCATGAGCCGGAACGTACTGCTCAGTTTCCTTTGGTTCTGATTCGTTTCCAGCGCAGTAACCCAGGTTGGACATCCATACCTCAGTATCGACGGCGACACACTGGTCAGAAGACGCCCTTTTCTACTGCTGGGACCAGCTGTTCGGTATGATTCTAGCTATCGCGTTGATAGCCTTCAAAGCCTTCTCACAGGCATATCACTCCCAGGTATTTCAACGCACGCTTCGAGGTTATGGCGTGCTCCCCGACAGTGATTTCTGCCCGCCGTACTACTTTACAATTACTGACCAATAACACTTCCGCTTTGTGGTGGGCTATCTGCAGCTTTGCTCCTTTCATCCAGTTGTGTGTGTATGTGTGTGTAACGAAATATTTATTGAGACATGTTGCTCGACAACCACTAAACCGAATTGGACGCAATAGCCGCCAAATGAAAGGAATTATGGTCCCATAGAGCACTTTTGACTATTTTTTTTGAATCGGTCAACCGGTTCCGGAAATATGGGGCATGAGGCTAATTCTGATCTCAAACGAATAAAACTCATCCCGTACACACAAAAAATATTCGTTTATGAAATTAAAAAAACCATTAGTAGAATTGAAAGTTTGCATTGGTTCTTTTTGGTAGAAAGTCATTAGCATTCAAAACAAAAGTCTGTCAACTCTCAATTCAAAAGTTGCTCGATCTCTAGTTTTAAAAGTTTAAACTTTCAAAACGAATTGTAGTACTGTCAAATGAAAAACGTTGCAGTGTTAAAATTAAAAGCGGATTATTCTAATTTCAAAACAAACTTTCACAAGGAAAGTGGGGTGTAGTTAAAATAACATGGGCTATTTTTAATCTGAAATAAAATATTTTCATTTTTAGAGCAAGCGTTTCTTAATTTGAATTTTAAAAAACGTTAAAAAAAAGCATTATTATACAGGAAAAAATATTTATTTACAATTATGTTATAAAACGTCGTCTAGAAAGTATTCGTGATAGAACACTTGGTAGGAATCGCGACAGGTGATGGTCATCACGAAGAATACCTGGAACACATTATCAGGTTCCGGACATTGCCATACATTGGAATGTGTGTATGCCT